ATCATGACCTGAGCTGGAACCAAGAGTTGGACGCCTAACCAACTGAGCCACTCAGGCGCCCCTACAATTTCTGATGCTTCTCATTCCTTTTGTCAATCCAGATTTCTTCTAGGATTATTTTTCTGCTGCTCAAAGGATGTCATTTTACAATTTCATTGGGTGTGGGTCTTCTGGTTCAGCTTTTGTAAATCTGAAAATGTCTCTTTTTTGCCTTCACTTTTTTTTTTTGAATTGAGATGTAATTGACATAGAACATTATATTAGTTGAAGTGTATAATGTGATGACTCGATATCTGTGTATATTGCACAATGATTACCACAAGAAGTCTAGTTAACATCCATCCCCACACCTAGTCACAGTTTTCTTTTCTTGTGATGAGAACTTTTAAGATCTACTCTCTTAGCAGCTTTCCAGCATAGATTACAGTATTGTTAACTATAGGCACCACGTGGTACATTACATCATCAGGACTTATTTATTTTGTGACTATAAGTTTGTACCTTTGACTCCCTTCACCCACTTTGCCTACCCCCCACACCCCACCTCTGCCAAAACCAATCTGTTCTCTGGATCTATGAATTTGGGCTTTGCCTTCTTCTTCTTCTTCTTCTTCTTCTTCTTCTTCTTCTTCTTCTTTTTCTGCTTCTTCTTCTTCTTCTTCTCCTTCTTCTTCTTTTAAGTAGGCTTTATGCCCTGCACGGAGCCCAACATAAAGCTTGAACTCACAACCTCAAGCCCAGCCCCATGCTGGGCTCCACACTGAGCATGGAGCCTGCTTAAGAGTCTCCCTCTCTCCCTCTGCCCTTCTTCCCCACCAATGCGCTCTCTTTCTCTATAGAAAGAAGAAATTTAAAAAAATTTTAAAAAGTGATCTCCAGCTGATGGGTCATGAATCACACGTGGCCCATAGCCTTGCTTCATTTGGCTTTGGTGGTATGAGGCGTGGCAGCCTGTTCCCAGATGGTCTTAAATCAGGGGTTTCCCCACCTTCGCAGTATTGACTTTTGACCCAGATAATTCTTGGTGGGGGGAGACTTTCCTGCATGCTGTGGGATATTCAGCAGCGTCTTTGGTCTCTACCCGCTAGGTACCGGTAGTATCCCCCTCGATGTTACAGCCAAAAATGTCTCCAGACACGCCAAGTGTCACCTGGGTGGGGGGAAGGGGAACAAGAAACCCTGATCTATCTATATCTATATCTACATCTAAATCTATATCTATATAAAGTGACCAACATTTTGCTTGATTTTTACCTAAAAATCTGGATTCTAGCTTCTGCTGGAAAATCAAGACAGACATGATTAGTAGAGCCTAGTGGCTGCTGTCCTACAGACAGACATATTATTCCTTCCCACCTCTGTCCCCTGGTCCACGTGGTCACCTATGAGCGCGATGTGGGGCTCAAACTCACAAACCGCAAGATCATGACCCGAGCTGAAGTCGGACATTTAACCCACTGAGCCACCCAGGCGTCCCTCTTTCTTTTTGGTTTTATCCTGGGGATGAATACTGACTCTGTACCCAGGGATAGCTGTGGAGTGGTTCTAAGATAATCCTTTAGTTGATCGTTCTGTCTCTCCACCGCTGTTACTAGGAGTTGGGAATAATGGCAGAACATGGACCGTATCTGCCGCCGTTGGAGGTGGAGAGTCAGGGACCCTCAAGTATGAGACAGATTGCCCAGGGGAAGTGCGTCAGACATCAAAAGTCTTCCAGGACTGACCTCTGAAGAACACAGACCACAAAAAGGCCAGAGAGGATGGCCAGAGGGAGGGTAGGGAGATCAGATTGTGTGTGGAGTCACAGAAGCCAAGCGAAGAAAATGTGTCAGGAAAAGAATCAAAATGTCTAACGCTGCCGACGGGAGCGTATCCAGTGCCCTTTCATTGAAATATGCAGGCCGTGATTTTGGTGAAAGCGGCCTCTCTAGAGTGCTGGAAGCAGGTGGGAGCCTGCAGCAGGGCGCAGGCGCTCCAGAGAGGAGAAAATGTAGGGAGTTAGGACAGACAGCTCTTTCTGAAAGTTCGGCTGTGCGGGAGGTGGGAGGCAACGTGTGGTGAAGGATGGAGAATGAGAGGCTGGATTGGTTGGTTGTTTTATGGTGGAAGAGATTTGAAGTTGTTCACAGAGGAAATAGTCTGGGCTTTGTGATATTGTGAACGGTATAACCTGACAAACACATGCCCACCTTGACGCGTTTAGAAATTCAGCATAAAATCAAGTAAACATCCTTTAAAATGCATAACTGCGTTTAGTAAGGGGAATCCCCGCCTACAAAGAGGAAATTGAAAACCAGAGCTGTGAGGGGGCTGTGTGGTTGTGCAGATCTTGGCAATGCAGGGGCTTGGGTTTTATACCCGCCTGGAGATTGGAGATGAGGCCTGGCCTCGTTGGGGCATTGAAAACTGAGACCCTAATTTAAAGCTCAACCCCTTAAAGGGAGACACCTTCAGTGAAAGAACAGACTAGAAATGGAGCAGCTGGGTGGCTCAGTCGGTTGAGCGTGCTCAACTCTGGCTCAGGTCGTGACTCTGGCTCCCACGGTTCGTGGGTTCGAGCCCTGAATCAGGCTCTGCGCTGGCATTGAGGAGCCTGCTCGGGATCCTCTCTCTCTCCCTCTCTCTCCGCCTCTCCCTCACCTGCGCTCTCCCTCTCAAAATAAATGAGTAAACTTTAAAAAACCAAAAGAGTAGACTAGAAAAAAAAAAATCTTTCCATTTCCATCAGCTTAGTGAGTATAAAAGAACCATCTGGTTCACCGAGATCTGATGGCAATAGAAAATCTCTCCTGAGGATCCATTACCAGTGGCTTGTCCTTACCTGGATCACCATCTGCATAAAATGATAAATTGAATCGTCAGCCCTGATAAAATGAACAAATAACATAGCTCAGGGTTCATAATACCTTTGAAGCATAGGTAAGGCCCTGCTGACTCTGAGTTCACAGCCCCAAATTAGAAAGCACAAGAGTGAACCATCTGTCATGGATGAGAGTAAGTACCCTCCAGCTGCAGACAACAGAACCATCAAGCAAAGGACGGTACAGTGAGTATATTTTAAGCACCGGAAGACTTGAAAGAAGGGCTCAATGCGCGAAAGTAATTAACAGGTGTTAAAAATAAGCGGCAGAGAGGTTTAAAACAGAGAAAGCAGTGGGGCTCCTGGGTGGCTCAGTAATTAAGCGTCAGACTCTTGATCTCCGCTCGGGTCCTTATCCCACCGGTCATGAGTTTGAGCCCCAAATCGGGCTCTGATGGGGCAGAGCCTGCTTGGGATTCTGTCTCTCCTTCTCTCTGCCCCTCCCCCGCTTGTGCACAAGCGCTCTCTCGTTCTCAAAAAAAAAAAAAAAAAAAACAAAAACAAAAACAAAAAACAAATAAACTTAAAAACAACAACAGAAAGGAGAAAGGGTAAAACTAACTCCTCTGTTAATCCACCCCTCAGTCATCTGTTCATTTTTTGGGGCTGCTAGTAACATGTGGCCCCTGGTCTGGGTTTGGGAATGGAAGGGGATTCTAGGCTCCACATCAGGAAGATCACATTCAGCACTGCGGGCACACACCCCTCTCTCGTTTTTTTTTTTTAAGTTTATTTGTTTTTGAGAGGGAGACAGAGAGACAGAGGGTGGGGGAGGATCAGAGAGAGGGAGACAGAGGATCTGAAGCAGGTTCTCAGCAGACAGCAGAGAGCCTAATGCAGGGTTCGAACCCAAGAACCTGATCGTGACTCACAAACCTCGAGATCATGACCTGAGCCGAAGTTGGACTTAATCGACTGAGCCACTCAGGCACCCCACCCCTTTTTCATTTTATAGCATCCTTAGAGGTCACAGCTAGAAAAGTTCCCGCAGGGCATCCTGTTCACCTTTCGACTTTCTCGTACAGAAAAAGAATGTGAGTCCCAGCAACGTAAAAATCACTTTTCTGAAGTCTCCGAGCGAGTGGGCGGCAAAGCCAGATGGAGAGCCGGAGCCCTGCCTCTGCCGAGCGCTTGGCAGGCCAGCATCGAAGCTCTGAACACTGTATGTCTGTTTTGTTTCCCTGGTGGGCTGTGTGTTTGCTCCTGTGGGCAGAGTCCCCACAACCCAGTCCCGTCAGCTGATGGCGACAATGAGAAGTGACAGCCTTATCCAGCTCCTGAGTGACCGAGATGGGAGGGGGGCTCTGATCTCTATCTTGTGTCAGTTATGTGTCCCTATCTCATGGCACCTCCTTCAACCCCTGCTCCTGTCACCAGAGAGTCTGAGCTCCTTGAGAGCCGGGGCCGGGCTGACGCCTCCACCCCCAGGGCCTGGCTCAGAGACGATGCTCCGGTGTTACTTTGACTTCTGGCACCCAAAGAGCGAGCAGGAGGCCCAGGCCCTCCTGAGCAGGAAGGAAGAGCTGACTATAGGTCCCTGCCCAGCAGCATTTCCTGCGTGTGAACTTGGGAGGTTCCTGGCCATCAAATAGCACAGGGTGGCTGTTCCCCGTGCAGAACTCTCAGTCTGTCTCAGTACTTCCGGGGGGAATGTCTCAGGATGGTACTCGAATGTCTAACACTTTCTTAACACTTGCTGACCCATCAATTCTCTTTTCTTTTAACATAGAAACAACATGGGGCCCGTGGGTGGCTCAGTCAGTGGAGCATCCAACTTTGGCTCAGGTCATGATCTCACAGTTGTGAGTTCGATCCCCACATCGAGCTCTGTGCTGACAGCTTAGAGCCTGCAGGCTGCTTTGGACTCTGTGTTTCCCTCTCTCTTGGTCCCTCCCCCACTCACCCTCTGTCTCTGTCTCTGTCTCAAAAATAAATAAACATTAAGAAATTAAAATAAAAAATAAAAAAAAAAAGAGCAGACCTCTGGGTCAATGAATGCTACTAGCAGGGAGGGAACAATATCTACTTAGAACGTAATATCTTTGTTTAACCTTGTATTTATTTTCATGTTTTACTTTCTATTTATGGCACGTGATAACTGGTTTTCCATTTGCAGAAGTGATACAAAAAATGTTCCTTCTAAAATAAATTTATTCAGCAAATAGGAAATCATCTTAAGGAAAAATATGAAGTAAATAATAGTACAGGTGGTAAAGTGATAAGGCAAAAATCCTAACATTCGTGACTGAAGTTTGGGAAATCGGGCCCCCCTTCCCTCCCCGTGCCGGGAGTGCAGCTCCTTTTCCTCTCCCCAGCTCCTGGCTCTCCTCCCAGGGGGCGGCCAGCTGATACAGATGGCTGTGGAATCAAGGACATCTCTGGGCTCCATTTCTACCGGGTGAGGCATTATAAATAAGCCTGTCATGGGGCAAATCTGTCTGGATTGATCCAGCAAGCTGGGAGGGAGGATGGCCAGAGGCCGCACACCGGGAGCTGCTCTTCCCCAGGGACAGTGTTCCTTTCCACATTGGATCAAACTCCGATCGCTTCGGCGGGCCTCCCTCACCCCGGAGGGGTCAGAGTCAGTGGGCTGCCATGTTCAACCTTAATGGGACGGCTGCCCCCTGACCTCCCTTGACTCGAGGTCCTAGCTGGAGGCAAGGAGGGGCCTCTCCAATTTGGCTGCCCAAGTTTCCTGTGGCAAGTTGGGGGTCAAAGCTACAGTTGGGATGTAATAAGACGCTCCTTTGCCTGGCCTTGACCTCTGTCTGTGTTTTCCTGGAGGCATGATCCGTGGCTCTGGGAGGCTGGCTTCCTGTCCTCTCCTGCTGGCAGGACTGACCCTGGTCATCTACACTCAGTCTGTTCGGCAGCCACAGGACCCCTGCACGCCGATGTTGGCATCTTAGGTGCACAATGAAGGTGGAAGCTTCTGTGATGATCCTATTCCCTACCTGTTTGGTAGCTTGAGATCTTTCTTAATCTAGAACATGATTTTGGCGACTTCTGGCCCGTAGTCGGCCCCACCTCCAATTGTCTGTGCCGCGACCCTGGGCAGCCAGAGAGATACTTCTGGGCTTCCCCTGCAGCACAGGCTCTGTCCATGCGGTGCCTGCCCAGCCCCAGATCCAGGGAATTGAAATCCAGATGTAAAAGGCCTTGGGAGGGGTGTTCTTCCCTGTGGGCCCAAGTATGAACTTGGGCTCTTAGGCTGGAGCCTCAGGGTCTTAAGGCCTCAGAGAGACCCTCTGAGGTAAGGCCTTCCTCAGTGTCTCGGAGAGGCCAGTCCTCCAGGCCCTGGGGAATCAGAACCCCACGCTGGTCCGACCTTCACGCCTCCAGAAAGCAGAGATCTGCTCCAGGGTGACCCGAGGTTGGAGGCCCCACTCCAGATCAGAGCTCCCTAGCCGCTGCCTCTGGGTCTGGGGGCTCCCCAGGTGCATGCTGGCCTCTGGCCTCTGTTCAGGCTCAGCCCAGCTCACCAGACCCGGAGCATAGGGCCTCTCCTCCAAGGCCTGGGGCCCCCAGAAGGTGCTGCGGACTGGGGCCCTGGGTGGGCTCTGGAGGCCCAAGGAGCTGGGAGGGGAGAGTGGGGCTATAGGGGCAGGTGGGGCTGTGGCTCGGGCCTCCAAGGTGCCTCCAGAGATGGGAGGGTCTGGGGCCCCATCCATCAGCAAGGGGACCGCAGAGCCATACCAGTCTTCTGAGCGCTCTCGGGGGGTGCCCCTGGGCTCGATCCACAGTTCTCCTCCGGGGCGCCAGACCAGGGTGGGTGCACGGTTGCTGGGGTCTGGGTGCAGAGAGCGGCGGAAGAGGCGTTCGGCCAACACAGCTGTCGTTACGAGGAAGAGGGCGGCGAGGGAGGCCAGGGCCAGCATGATGGGGATGCAGGGCCCACAGGGCAGCGGGGGCCATGTAACCAGCTCCGACTCAGGGAGTCTCTCCACATGCCCAGAGGGCTGCTCTGGAGTTGAAGGCATCTGAAGAGACGGGGGTCAGGAGAGGAAGCACATGAGACAAGGTCAGCACAACCTATAGGAAGAGAGAGGCAGCGTGTGTCCAAACAAGAATGAGGAGAGAGACAGAGGCCCGAGCGGCTCTGCATCCGGCCTGGGAAACAGACCCCGGCAGACAGAGGAACAAAGAGGGCCCAGAACGGCGAGAGATAGGCAGAAGGTTGGAGAGCCAGGATCCCACCTTGGTCGGCAGCCAGCCCTCCTGCTCTGGTTCCTGAACCTGCTTCCAGACGCCCTGTCCCCCACCCCTACTCCCGCCGCCCAGACCCCGGGGTGCCTCAGACAAAACTGTAAGGGCCCCCAGAGATTCTTTCCTGCTGTCTAGGCTGCCCCCACGTCTTGCTTGGGCCTCAGAGGAAGTGGTGGGTGCAGAAACGAGAAGCTCCCCTCCCGACTCCCACCCTGCCTGTGTGCCCCCTCCCACCGCTTGGCTGCCACCTTGGGTGCCCCTGGGCCCTCACGACTCTCCTTGGATTTGGTCTTGCTCTCTGCAGGTTCCACTGAGCTTGCTGTCCTGCCAGGTCCCGGGCGCCACCTCTGCACCTGTCCCCGCCTCTCCTCTCCGGCTCTGGCCCCGGGCCTGGCCAAACGTGCCTCCCTTGTTTGACTCTGCCTACTTCTCTCTGCCCCCCAGGTCCGCCACCTGCAGGGGCCCTCACCACACCTCACCTTAACTCAGGGCGGCCCCAGGGCTCCTGGCTCTCCCTTCAGAGCACTCCTCCTTGTGCAGGGTGTCAGGCAGTTGCCTCAGATGAGGCCGGAAGGGAGGGCACCACCTGTTGCTGGGCAACAGTGCCCCAACTCCTCTTGCCCCTGGGGAGTGTTTCCAAGGCAACCTGGGGGGATGTGGTCAATGTGGTGGGGAGGCGTTTCCTGGCGAGAGGTGGGGCCGGAATGGGCAGTGGTTGTGTTGAACTCAGTCTCACCCCATAGCCAGGCCCCAGGCCCCTCGCTCTGCCTGATCTCGAGGGGTGGCCCTGGCCCTGGCCTGCCCACTGCACCCCTACGAACCCGCCCCTGCCATCCAGCCCCCTCCTGCTTGACCCAGCCTTCCCCATACTTTTCATGAATATGCATCTCTTCGTCTTTAGGCCAGTTAGCCTCAGTTTTGGTTGGAAGCCATCTGTGAGGTGAGGCATGGGCACCAACAAAGTAGGCCTCTTGGGAGAATCCTGTCTCCAAGACCCTGAACATTTGCCCTCCGGCCTCCCTTCTCCTGGGGTGAGGCTCGGAGGAACCTGGGAGCAAGGAGTGAGGAGGGAGTGTTGTTCAGCCACTCGGATCCCTTCGGAGATTGTCTAGTTCCACTCGCTCGCTGACAGATGACAAGCAGGCCCCGCACACGGGTGACGTTGTGCCCAAAGTCACACCCATGTATACGGGAGGGACCAGAGAAGCATAGGTATAAATTCCTGGTCTGGCAAGCAACCTGAACACAATCCTTACCAGGTATTAATATTTGCTTTTGCAAAATGACAGCCATTTCATGAGAAATGCTACAAAAATATGTTGCAATGTTAGTGTCTTACAAAATGGTCACAAGGGCAGCCTGACTCACATTGGTCTGTCCCGGTGGTTTTGAGGAAAGGGTCAGAAGGAGCACAAAATGTGGCATGGGATGGGGGTAGGTGGAAATGGAGAGTCCCGAGGCTCCTGGCTTTACGACATATGCCGAAACCTGATGTGATTATAATTCGATGAGATCATAAGCCTTAAAATAAAACTGGAATTTGGGGCGCCTGGGTGGCTCCGTCGGTTGAGCATCCAACTTCAACTCAGGTCATGATCTCACGGTTTGTGGGTTTGAGCCCCACATTGGGCTCTGTGCTAACAGCTCGGAACGTGGAGCCTGTTTCAGATTCTGTGTCCCCCCTCTCTCTCTCTATCCCTCCCCTACTCTCTCTCTCTCTCAAAAATAAATAAGCATTAAAAAATAAAATAAAATAAAAAATAAAACCTGAACTTGATACCACTGAGATGGACACAAAAAATGGTTAAGATTGGGGCGCCTGCCTGACTCAGTCGGAAGAGCATGTTACTTTTGACCTTGGGGTCATGAGTTCAAGCCCCACGTTGAGTGTGGAAATTACTAAAAAAATAAACTTAAAAAAAAAGGTTAAGGGAACACCTGGGTGGCTCATTCGGTGAAGCATCTGACTCTTGACTCAGCTCAGGTCATGATCTCCTGGTTCATGGGTTCAAGCCCCAAGCTTGGGATTCTCTCTCTCCCTCTCCCTCTCTCCTCCCCCACTTGCTTGCACACACTGTCTCTCTCAAAATATATAAATAAAGTTAAAAAAAGGTTAATATAATAGATTTTGTTACATGTATTTACAACAATAAAAATTTTTAAGTCTAAATAAATAAGTAAATAAAATCTGAAAATTATGTATGTTCTGTTTTAATTAGTGATCCCTTAAAAAAACAAAACACTAAGGGCACCTGGCTGGCTCAGTCGGTAGAGCATGTGACTCTTAATCTCAGGGTTGTGAGTTCAAGCCTTATGCTGGGGGTGGAACCTACTAAAATAGAATTTAAATTTAAAATTTAAACAAAACAAAACACTAGAAGGGTAAACATTATTAAAACCAGGAAGATCCACCATGATCTGGAATCCAAATGGGATGTTTTTGATTCTTAACTATCTCTTACCACTTAAAAAATAGCTTAATATTTTTGGAGGGTGCCTGGGTGGCTCAGTTGGTTAGGCATCCAACTCTTGATTTTGGCTCAGGTCATGATCTCATGGTTCATGAGCCCCGTATTGGGCTTTGTGCCAACAAGTGGAGCCTGCTTGGAATTCCTTCCTTCACTTCTGCTTAGATCCCCCTGTCCAATCTAGCCACCTGTATACCTTAACACTTCTCTGCAGCCAAAGCTCACAGGCCCCATCAGAAGATAAAGGGACCTGGGGTACCTGGGTGGCTTAGTCGCTTGAGCATCTGACTTTGGCTCAGGTCGTGATCTCACAGTTCATGAGTTTGAGCCCCGCATTGGGCTCCTCACTGACAGTGTGGAGACTGCTTGGAATTCTCTCTCTCTGCCCCTCCACCACTTGTTTTCCCTCTCTCTCTCTCTCTCTCTCTCTCTCAAAATAAATAAATAAACTTAAAAAACGAATAAGTAAAAAAAGAAGGTAAGGGGACCAGAACGATCTCAAGGAAGCTAAGTATGTGTAGGGGCAACTTCCCACATGGCCACTTGTGAATGGCACATGGGTCCCTTTTCTCTGCCATGATGCCACTTGGAAAGTCACTGAGGTCCATTCTATACTGAGGCTTTCTGTAGCCAGCATCTGACCCCACACCCTGTGATACATGGCTGCCCACCAGATGTTCCCAGGAGAAAGGAGGGCCCAAGGGGCTGCTACAATTTTCCCAATTCCTACACGAAATGGGCCTGCCCGTACGAAGGTTCTTAGTCTGATTCTGTTGGAGATGGGTGGTCTCAAGAAAATGTTAAGCTTCATCCCCTCCACAACATACTTGGCTGTCACAGCCCCATTCATCACAAGAGTTTTATACCTCCATGGGCAGTTAACCACTGGTGATCCAATTGGAGGATCCACTTGTAGCCTGAGTGCGGGAGACTCATCCCCATCCAAACCCACCCATCTTCTAACACCCCATCCCAATGCCAAAGGGTATCAACAGGAGCCTGAAGGCATCACTCCACTGCTGTACTTTCTACATGCACAGGACTCAGTGGCCAAACTTCGTTTATTATTATTTCTATTGAACTTCACATGCTATGAAGTTCACCCAGTACAGTAGTAGTGGGTTTTAATATATTCATAAGATTGCACAACCATCACCACTATCTAATTTCAGGACATTTTCATCACCCCAGAAAGAAACCCTGTACCCATTAGTGGTCACTCCCCATTCCCTCCTCCCCCAGACCTTGGCAACACTGTTTTCTTTTTTCAAAATATTTCTAAATGTTTATTTTTGAAAGAGAGAGAGAAAGAGAAAGAGAGAGACGGAGCAGGCAAGGGGCAGAGAGAGAGGGAGACAGAGAATCCAAAGCAGGCTTCACGCTGTCAGCGCAAAGCTGGATGTGGGTCTCCAACCTGTGAGCCGCCAGATCATGACCCGAGCTGACGTTGGATGCTCAACTGACTGAGCCACCAGGTGCCCCAACAACTGTCTGTTTTCTGTGTCTATGCATTTGCCTCTTCTGGACATTTCATATAAATGAAATCACATAACCTGCAGCCTTTCGTGCCTGGCAGCTTTCACTTCACATAATGTTTTCAGGGTTCATCCACACTTAATGAATCAGTACCTCATTCTTTCTTTTTTTTTTAATGTTTATTTATGTTGAGAGAGAGACTGTTGGGGGAGATACAAAGAGAGAGGAGAGAGAGAATCCCAAGCAGGCTCCACACTGTCAGCACAGAGCCAGACACGGGCCTCGATCCCACAAACCATGAGATCATGACCCGAGCTGAAGCCATGAGCCAGGCGTTCAACCAGCTGAGCCACCCAGGCGCCCCAGTACTTCATTCTTTTTTTTGTACAAAAGCTGAATGTTTTAGTGTATGGCTATACTACATTTTTATCCATCCATCAGTCAAGGGACACGTGGATTGTTTCTGCTTCTTGGTTATTGCAAGTAATGCTGCTGTGAACAGTCATGTATAGGTTTTTGTGTGGACATGTTTTCAGTTTCTCTTGGGTCTATAGCTGGGAGTCAGACCTCACAGTCGGATGGCAACACTGTGTTCACCTTTTTGAGGAAGTGTGGGTGACCAAATTTACAACTGCTGAGTTCATCCACCTCTCCTTACTCTCTGCTCCGGGCCCACCCTCCGACAGCAGCAACGGTTCCACAACTTCTTCCTGCACCGTGTTGGGTCCACCGTGCACTTGGCTTCTAGGAAACGTGTGGAGGCCACCAACCTCAGGCAAGAGGAGAATCGACCGTCAACAGGCATGAGGGAAGACAACCCTTCAAGAAGATGGCTGCGGTCCTTCCATGCTCATGCCACCCGTCCTGGTTGAAGCCTAAAGACCTCTTCTTATGCAATGATACTGTGACCAGAGTTCTAGGTTTTGTGTTTCAAGCTGCCTTCATCCACGCACACCCAACCCTTGTCTCACCCCTGCCTGCGGAGCGTGGTGTGCTCGGATCTTGCCACGCTCCCCTGGCGACAAGAGGGAGTAGCCAGGAACAGTAGGGGAGGGGGGGCAAGTAGAGGAGCTCATGACTTGGGGTCCGTGTCACAACATGAGCTACAGTCTGAGGTCTCCAAGCAGAATGTCAGTAAAACGTTGCTTTGCAGGGGCGCGTGGGTGGCTCAGTGGATTAAGTGTCTGACTTCAGCTCAGGTCATGATCTTGTGTTCTGTGAGTTTGAGCCCCATGTCGGGCTCTGTGCTGACAGCTCAGAGCCTGGAGCCTGCTCCGGATTCTGTGTCTCCCTCTCTCTCTGCCCCTCCCCTGCTCACACTCTGTCTCTCTCAAAAATAGACATTAAAAAAAAAGTTGCTTTGCACTTCAGAAGGAGGCTTCAGCGGC